ATATGTCTGAACTCTTGAACTCATTTTGCCTTTCCGAATACCACCAACAACAAAAAAAAACGTTCATTAGCGAATAGGCAGAAATGAAATAAGTAATCGAGAAATAGAATGGTATTATTATTATTATTATATTTTTTTTCATATAATATATTTTGGTAAGGCCAATTTAATCCAGGAAACCAGAAGACATTAGTGGACGATACCTGCTGTGTTAACGGGAAGGGTTGAAAAAAATGTATAAGTTAAAACTCACGCGAAACGTACGCACTTAATTTCCGTAAAAGGGTCACGATAATAAGGTGGTGGTGAGTGTTTAAGTTTCTTATACATTTTTTTTCTCGTCTAACACAGTTAATTTTGTAGCCCTTGTCCACGCCCACCGTTGTCATCAACCGCACGGTCATTAGCATATAAACGAAGCAAAGGCGATACAGTATTATTATTAAGTGTCCGGAAAAACTGAGCCTTTTTTCCGTATAATAATAACAATATTTCTTTGGGCAAACGACAAGTACTTTGTAATCGTATTCCGGTCACGTATTTTGCGAGGTGAGAAAAAGTGGTTGTTAAAAATTACGCTACTTAAGTTGCCTCTATACAAATCGATCGGTTAGTATTTTTATTTCACGTATAAATGTGATGACGACAAGGTCGGAGAATAATTGTTAGCTACACGCAAAATGTGAAACAACTACCTATAATAATGTTGGTTGTGTAACTGTAATCTATACATTATAAAAATATTTAGTCCATATAACATTTAGCGTGCATCCACGCACATCTTTCCATTAATTTTTTGCTCCAAAACAGTTTATCTGATAAATATCAGTGCACATATCATCAAGTATACAGATACCATCAAGCTGTCGTCGAAGTAACGTACGTTTGTGTGTATAATATTATATAATATATGTATACACCTATACGTAGGTACGCGTTTGTATTGCATCTATAATCTATATGCACTCGGTTCTCATATTTTATCACTTTATATATTTTATATATATATATGTATATACTTGTATGCGTTGTGTGAAATATATATTATAATATTTTATATACATACAAGAGTGAGTTCGGGCAATGTTCCAAGTCCGACGACGGTCGATGTATGCCTCTCGTCGTATACGTATATTGTGTATGGAGCGTGTGTGTATGTGTTTGTGTGTTTATAAGGCGCAAGTGAGTGTGTGTAGAAAGTGTCTCCGAACAGGGTCACTTTAGGTCTAGCTCGCGATGTACGATGATTTACAGCAGAATTTATCGACATTATACACGTTGGGTTAATGAAAAAGTGGACAAAGTTCATTAAGTATGTAGATTCAGCTGAACACTTCGAGGCAATAAATTATTGGTCACGTTCCGAATGGATTAAATCGACTTCTTACATATATTTATTTTTTTCTCTTCTTTTTTCATTTTTCTTTTTTTTTTTTACATATCGACGGGATTACTTCTCTTCTTTACCTACTCGATATTTTTTTCTTATTTTTCCAATCTTGCGCTCGTTATATGTATACATACACACTTATATATATATATACCTGTAGTGTGTGTGTATAGACTTGTGTACGCGCAGTGTGCACCGCAGCGGCGGTTATAGGACGCGTACACATAGAGAATGTTAACGGAAAACAAGCCGTTTATGGGCACGAACGACATTTATTGGACATAGGCACGCATCGGTAAAAAGAAAAAAATTATAATAATCCACCCAACCCGCTCACAAACGTATACCGCTTATCTTAACAGATTTTTCCTCTTTTTATCCGTCCAATTTATGTTTGCACAAATACGGCCGTATAATACAATTTATCATAATATTATGCAACGACGAGAATAGGTTTATTATTATATTTAGAATCACTTCATTATAATGTTATATTATATTATATTGACATAGGCAGATATAGATATTAATATAATATAATATGCTCGGGATAAGTTCGGGAATTATAGTTATATGTGCTGTTGTTCGCGTTATTTTCAAGGTGATCACTACTATATACAATGTGATAATATTGCAGTTGAAAGGTCGATCTGGTATACATGCATTAATGCACTTACAATGTTCTATAATCAGTTATTAATTCTCAGCCACAACTAGCCATTTTTCAATTTCAATCCAATCTTTATTAAGATATAATACAAAATTACAAACTAATAATTGTAATCATTACTATAAGTTATAATAAAAATCACATTCGTTAGTAGTTACTATAGTTCCTAAGAAAAAAAATAACTATTATAAATGAATACATTAAGAGCTGTAATGCATTTTAACTAATAGCAAAATTAGGGTAGCTTTCTCAGTAATATATACGTATACGTCGATATTAAGGTCTGACCACTGTGATTTTACAGCATCATTCGTATAAATACCACGATTATAAACGTATAAACGATTGAAAACCACACGAAAAAAAGGTTGATGAAGCCAAAACATTACCTACTGTGCGACCGCCAACAATAATAATAAAAGGTCTTTTTTCTCCATTTTAATCCCGTCAAAGGGTTGAAAAGGGACTAAATTCAATTATTTATATTGTAGTCGCTTTCTGCAAACAATTACCGGACTTTTTTTTCCTCTTCGGAGAACTTTTTATTGGAAAAACAAAATAGCCTCCACCAGTTATATTGCCATTTACCTGTCACCAAAACCGTTTTACCGTGTTATTATTATCATTTAATATTATTATTATTTTACTTTGTCCGATTAAACACACACGAAATGTACAATTACTTAAAAGTGGCCTATTTTATGTAGAACGTAGTGTTTAAATTTTACACAGATAGGTGCAGTGTGTACATGATATACGTAAATGTAGTAATATTGTAATAATACTATCGCAGTGAGTAAACGTAATAATAATCAATAATATACATATATAACCCCACTACCTCATTTTTCAATAATATAATTGTTCAAAATATTTTTTTTTAAATTTTTAAAAGTATTCAAAGACCACATTTTCATTTTTTCTTATTTATTGTATCATTTAAAAAAAAAATTTGTATGGAGAAACAAACTTCTGTTTTCAAAAGAGAACCTTATTTTTATGGTCTTTAAATGCATATTTAAAAATTCCTAAAATCAAAATTTGAATGAATTCATTTCTAAATTTAAAAAAATTCGTTAAGCATACTTAGTGAATCGCCCGGTATAATAATGTTTAATATTGTATACATGTGTATGTAGACTATAGAGACAGGGCCGGACAATAAACAAAAAATACTATTGTCATTAGCCGCTGCTGTGCGTGCGGGCAATCGACAGGATGACGTATATGAATTTCGATATTGTGCGCATAATATATTTTATTATTTTGTATTTTTGTGGACCCCAGTGTTTTAAATCATTCTAGCAGAGCCGAATTGTTTTTTTGACCAAAAAACAACGCGGTGCTAGGGACTGTAAATAATATTATAATAATGAAAACACGCAAAAAACCGATGGGAATTGGACAAAAAATAACACCACCGCGGCGAAAAATATGAACGATGCGATTTATGTGTCCACCCGTTTCGGTACATAAATCTCGTGACATTATAATATAGATGTATTATACGCATACATGTGCATATATATATATTTTTTGCAACGTTTTTCCAAAAATCATTCAGGGAAAAATCCACCCGGTCTGCCACCCGTGTGTTTTTTATTGCACTGCCCTCAATCACGTTTGTTTTGGCAGCCGTATACGTCATTTTAACATGATTATATAATACACATCATGCATATGTGTAATGTACATATAGGTAATAACTGTTTATCGGTATATCGTATACGCAGCCTTCCCCAATCACACACAAAAAAATAAAAAACAGTTTGGAATACAAAACTATACGATAAATAAAAATTGTTTATACATAGGTAGGCGCATTCCACATTCACACACATTGAGTATAAATTAGGTATAAGAATAATGGTCGTGTGGAACGTGCAGCAACAATATTTCATAAAATATGCGCACTGTTATAGCAAACGAGTATTAATAGTGTTCGTTCTGAATTTACTAAGGGCCTTTGCAACAGCCTTTGTATATGCTCAAGTATAGTTCACTACAGTCGGTAGGTACTACGTGGTCCGCACGTTAGAATTTCTATGAATACTCTCCCACGGAAGACGCGCTAAGAAGCGTAGTGAACAAAAAAAAAAAAAAATAATAATAATAATAATAATAATAATGAAAAAAATTTAAAAAATAAATTAGTGAATCATTTTGAAATGCTCGCGTTAAAACAAAAGCGTCCGCGGGGATCGCGTTGCAGGCTGTGAAAAGGGGTTTAGACGAAAGGGGAATTATTATATTTGTTGACGCAAAAAATGCACATATCCGGGTAAAATTACCATAACGTGTCGGTAAAAATGTAACAAAAGAATATCTAATTGGATACGCGCGGTTCTCAAGGTGCCGCAGTATGTATCACTCGCGGCGGGATATACACGGGAGACGGCAGTGCATCGCGCATAGGTCCACGTATTATATAATACATATATATATATATAAATAATAGGCACTGTTAAAAACAAAAAGGGAAAAAAAGATATGAAAAAAAAAAATAAATAGAATAATATAATATAACGACGACTAGTGGAAAAAAATCAGATGGCATCGCGCTAACGTGTTAAAACAATAGCGGCTCTTCCTTCCGCAAAGGACCACATTTATATAATATTATATCGTTGCACGCGCGTACCTATACAGTACACATCGAGCTCAGCGCTGTATAATGTTTGTCAGTATTTGCATATGAAACGGCTGCGCTTATACGACTGCAGTATAACCGGTTATGATGGCATTTTTTTTTTTACTACTTTTAAGTTTTTGTTTTCTTCCGACACGCTATTATTACTATTATTATTATTATTATTATTATTATTATTATTATTATTATTATTATTATTATTATTATTATTGTGATTACTGTTGTATACTGTGACGGTTGAAACGCGTATTATATTTTCGTTGTTCATGTATTTTGTTTTCGTTGAACAGGAGAACGACCTTACAGATGCCACTTGGCCGAGTGCGGACGAGCTTTCATACAGCTGTCCAATCTGCAGCAACATCTCCGCAACCACGATGCCCAAGTGGAGAGGGCCAAAAACCGGCCGTTCCACTGCACCATCTGCGGCAAAGGTTTCGCCACCGAGTCCAGTCTGCGCACCCACACGGCTAAGGTGAGGAGACGTTGTTTCGATATCGTTATTTATTATTCGGTCCGCTAGTAAGACACACAACGCGCCCGTGTGTGTTCATTTTTGTACCTATAGGCAACGGCAGTGTATAATAATAATATATACCTACATTATATTATGTTGTATAGCAGGTGTCCAACGCTTATTAATAAAAAAAATATTATATTATATACAACGACCGTACTGTTCATGTGTGTGTGTGTGTGTGTGTGTGTGTGTATATACATTATATATGTGTAGAAATATAAGAGTACATACGTCTTTCTCGTATCGTTAAGAAATAACGTTATTAATTTATTATATACATACAAAATATTTTGTCAGTTTTAATCGAATTTCCGCTTACCAAATGCTGCGGTAGTCGACCGAATAGTGAGGCAGTGGCGTAAAAGGTAGACGACTTTGACCCAGTTATGTAGGTGAAGAGGATTTTCTCCACAGTAATGCGTAGGTTTTTATCCCTGCTTCTCCGTGTCGGCGATGACGACGATATATTATAGTCGTTGTTGTCATAACTTATCGCGAATGATGGTGTGCATCATAATTATAGTTTTGTGTCAATGCGTTTATGAAGAAAAATAGTGACTGATGGAAAATTCAATTATGATGTATACAAATGAAACAACTGCAAGAAAAAAATGTGTAAATATTATTACACACACACACAGTCCTATATTATATTTGATAGATTAAATAGGTTAGAGAAGTTGTTTTTTTTAACACACATACAATACTGCAAATTCATATAACTTTTGTTCTCACATATATATATTATGCACGTATATAATGACCATAAAATATATGCAGTTACTGGCTAGACGTACGGATTTTTAATCGTTTTGTCACGATAACGACCGCAATAATATTTTCCTCGTTATAGAATTATATTATATTATGATATATGTAATATGTATATAATATTCTGCTGTCTTCGTCGTGGTTGCCGAGATTGCATTACACGCAAGCGCGCACCATATTATTATTATTATTTTTATTATTATTATTATATTATATGTACTCGACTGGGTGACGAGGGTGTGTGAAGTAGCGGATAGCGCTACGGCCAATGAAATATAGTGACAACCCGGTGGCTTATTTGAAAAGTTAATGGGAAAAAGCTGGCGAAAAGGGTTTTAATTCTTACGGACATCTTATATTTTTAGTTAATTTTGTTATTTCTTCAAATCTGCCACGTTACGATTTTCACTGCTGTAATTAAAACTGCGAAAAATGGACTTTATTTCCCCTCTCGGCTTCACTTATCCCACCGGTGATGCCGTTGCCGCCGAACGTCGTCACGACTCCTGATGATCAGACTAAGCAAAAGCATCATTTCTTTTTCTTCTCGCTCTCGACAAGAAAACAGTAATACCACCAAATACGTGAACTATAAACAATTAAATATTCTCTTGGTTCCAAATTCTGTTAAATAAATATTGTAACATTATTCATATTGTTAAAAATATATAAAGGTAGATATTTTCATAACTTTGTTGATGAAATTTAGAATATAAAATGGGTCAACGTGTAAATGTGCTGTAATCACATTTTTTCGACGTTATTTTTATATTTCGCTCGTATATAATCTTGTAGGAAATCCAAAAGTATATGCAGTGTAAAAGAAAAAAATTTTATACTGTATTATTTGTCGTACGTGTAGTATACAGAACATGTGCCAAGTTGCAATAATAATTATTTCAATAGTGCGGTTATTACTACTACGAGCCGTTTGGAAACATTACACGTTATGACTTTGTTTAAGAACACACGTTATTTTAAAAATCCCGTAAACAAAACTCTCAGAAATCATAAAACAAATTAAAATATTTTTATTTATTTAAACTTTAAAGATAAGTTTTGAAAAATGATCCGGTCATAATTTTTAGTAGGTACTTATACGATTAAAATGACATTTCATTTTTTTTCAACTTTAGATGGGACACCTTTCATTTACGATCGTTGATTATTATTTATTGTTAATTTATGCCTCAAAGTTTGTATAGTCTAACGAAAGGGTGAAACATTTAACACAGTAGGGTAAAAGTTTTTCTTGTTTAAAAACGTTCCACTTCTTTTTTTCCATTTTATTTTTTTGTCGTGTTGAATTAACCAAAGTGTTTATTGCCCTATGCTTTTTTTTCCTTACCATAAAAAGACATATTTATATATTATATTATTATTGTTATGTTTAAATAATAATTTTTTTAAATGAATGTGCGTCCTTGATTGTGTCTATTCAATAATATTGTGGCAGTGATACGAAATACTTTTCTGCGAGCATGTATATAAATTGAATTTCTGCATAATATCGCCAAGTGACCGATCCATAAAAATAGAAACAACCATAAACACATTCTCGGGTCGTTAAACTTGGCGTTGCAATTCCAATGTGTTTTTGTGCAATTATTTTGATTTACCACAAAAGATCCTTCAATATATCTATGCGAACAATCCTAACTAATAAAACCTAACTGATTATGCCGTTACTCAAAATTCATGTGGTTCGTTCAGACCGCACTTGATTCCCAGAATTTTTTTTTTTCATTTCAAATTTATATACATTTTTATGCTCTTTTATCATCGTATTTACAAATGTTTAATAGGGCGAAAATCCGGTGAAGTGTAACACGAATGTAAATTAGAATGAAAAGGGTTGTGCAAAAATATGACGTAATAAAAAAAAACACCACTATTCGACGATATTCATTAAAAATGTGAAAAGGGTATTAAGAGTATTCGTTATTGACCCTTCTTGTGTTCAGCCTTTTATTAACATACTTCTATGCGTATTATGACCCTTGTGTAATGTGTATATACAAAAAAGTACAACAAAAACGCCAAAATAACATGGGAACTAGAGATAACACAAATATATTTTTTCACAACGTAATGAAGTAACGTATATATTATACATACAGACTTTTCGTAAATCTTATAGGCCACGCGACGGATCCCGAGGCGCTTATTTATGTAGTGCGTGAGCAGGTGAACCGATTTACATACTACGCACAGGACGATTAATTTTTCGGAAATAGAATAAATTAACACTTGTCGAAAACAAAACGAAAGAATGTTTCTGTTGATTTCTATCGAAACTAAAAAAATAAATTAGGGACTGTTGATTTCTGTACATACAGGTGGTTTGTTCGGTTTCTTTCTTTTATCCGGCGTGGGCGTGTTATTTATTTTTCCAGGCACTTTTTTTAAAAAAAAAAACAATTCTTTATGTACAGTTACATTTTTTTTTTTTTTGGCCACCAAACAATTATTTTAATTTCCTATGCATCCCATCCGACGTTCAATTTTTTTCCTGATGCATGTACAATTATATATGCGATATACTCGCTCGATGCATCCCGCGTAGCAGGTGTTGAAACAGTTTGTATGTACATGCACACGATATTGAATAATAATGCAAGTGTCGGCGGTAATTACACGTTGTCTTGTCGTTTGATTGAATGCACTCGCATTCAAATTGCTGTACGCATAATAATCGTTATTAAGATACAAAAAAAAATTAAGTACCTACACGCATTATGCATACATGCATATCGTCCTAAATAAATAACACTAATGTTCGGCGTTTCGGTCATTTTTTCTTATTATTCTTATTTGTATTTATTATTTCCCATTTTATAATGTTAACTTTCAAGTATAAAACTTTTATAAATTATAATAATACTATCATATTTTATCAAAATTGTATTTGTTGTATGATTTGTAAGAAGTTTCGTATCGACATTTCGACATCTGAACTATACTGCTTTAACGGAAAACCTGTCTATAAACGTTTTTATTTAGGATTTTCTGTCGTAATTATTTTACTTTCATTTATTTTTCCCGTACTTGTTTTATTAGATCTATGGTAATGCCGCTAATGTCATCGGCGAACGTACTTATTTCATTATTCGAATTATAACACACGTTTATCGCTGCACGCTCACTTCTAAATATTCTATAATAGACTGCACATGCGCTCGCACATAATATGTAATATAATATAGTATATACGACTAATCCATTCATACATAATAATAATAATAATAATAATAATAATAACCATTTAATAGTCTCTCCGCGGGGCAGTGTATAATATATAATATAATAATATGATATATAATATTGAAGATCGATATCCAGCACGCGCGTTTTCGCTTTTTACTCACTTGTACATACGATATATTATACATCTACCGGTGCGCACGTTATAATATTTTATTTATTTCTTTCTTTCTTATATTTTTAATGGCAGCAGCTCATTATTTTCTCATCCGGACGTAAAAAGCGGGACCGATCTTCGGACCGTGAACGTCGACGGTGGTGGAGAGCGGAGTGCGGCATAGATAGGTGACGCGAGCGCGCGGCATACAATATAATATACGTGTGTGTGTGTGTGTGTGTGTGTGTGTGTGTGTGTGTGTGTGTGTGTGTGCTTATATACATGTGTGTGTGTGTGTGTTTGTGTGTGTCTATATACATTTATGTGTGTATGTGTGTACCTCCCTATATATTATAGCGAAGCCGCGCGCACATGATATTCTAATAAGAGGCCATAAATTTTGCGGCGGGCAATACACCGCGCGGACGCTCGTGTCGCCGCAGACCACTTTCCGTAAATGGAACGACGACGACAACGATGACGGGGAAACGGCGGCGTGTACACGAAAAACCGTGGAAAGTTTAACCGCATTTTTCTCTACAGTTCTCGTACTTACGTGCGTGCGTGCGTGCGTGCGTGCGTGCGTGCGTGTGCTGTGAACGTTTCGCTAGACAACTGTACAACAGAACACATTATAGCAATAGATATAATATCGCATGGATGGCATGACGCGGGAACACGGGACGAAATACAATAAAAATGTCGTATGGATACATTTATAATAATATTTTCATCTATGGTTTACTACTATGTTATTTTACGTGTGTCAAACCATCCAAACCATCGGCGTATTGTTTTTTAGCTGTCAATTAAACAAAATAGAAGCGTCCGTAATAATTAATATTTTTATGACATACGCGCGCCCACTTCAATGTTATAACGTGCCACACAGCTACTACGCCTAATTATTATGATTTTTATAATAATAATATGCCAACCCGTTTTTCATTTCAAGCAGCCGATAACGCTTATGATTATAATATACCCAGTGGATTTGAGCACTGGAATTCAATTAATTTTTCCAATTTCATCGTAGTCGTCTCCCTCGTCATATTATTATTATTATTATATAATCCTTTCTTTTGCAAACGCTATTTTCGTACATAATCATTTTTTTAAGTACTTTTTCGTGGAACAAGGGTTTATAATCGCATATTTTTCTCCTTCTCTCCCACTCTGTATCTTTGTTTTTCTCTTGGTTTTTTTTTTTAAACATATAATAAAATCTATTTTCAATTCAGTCAAAATCGTAACGGCTAGATAGTTTGAAAACTGCTAGCCTATAAGTGGCGTGATAAGAAAGTACGTAAGTAAATCATGTTACCACGGAGCGTTCTGTGTGTCATTTATTATAAATAATTTAATTCAGTGCGCCGCCGTGCAAAACGATAAAATTCATGAAGAAAATATTAGTTTTATGCAATAAAGGTGCATAAATCATTTAGGTACACAAAGTAAAAGTATTTGGCATTAATATAAAGTTTATATTGGAAATGGTAATGGTCACGGTGAATTTAATGTTTAATAATGACATTTTTCGTTCGCTTTTGGTAAATGTGTACTTACGCGATTATAGTTTCTCGTATAAAAAAATACACAACATTAAATATTCAAATAACTCGTCGGCGGTTGCCGGTTGAGTTAGTAAACTTTTAAACTAGGTATTATTGAAAAATATAATGAATACTAATAAAAAAAAATTTTGTTTTTCTTAATTTATTTAATTGCAATGTGCACAGTGCTGAATTGAACTATTGAAAACTCATTATTGGTCAATTACGATGTTTCCATTATTTCATTTTTTTAATTTTGTAACACTTATCGGGTTTAATATTGCAGTATGCCATTGTGAAAAAAAAATGCTAATTTAAGAAAACATTATTAGATTAGTAGGCTGTATATTCTGTGTACAAGGACTGGATAGTGGATAGCTATATACTTTGACGAAAGCCGTATACAAATCACGTGCAAAAACCGCCAGTAATTATTAACGGTGTCCCGAGTCCGGGCGGGCGCCTATTCTTTCGACTTTCGAGAACACTCAGACCGATAAATTATACTTTGTTTATAAAATATTTAATAAAAATGTAAATCTCCGCTACTTGGACGACGCCGCAGACGGACTTTTAATAAAAGTCACCGGGCTGCAAGTAGTCGGAAGGGCTTTTAAAAATTAAAATTACGTTTGTTTTATTGCCATCCCTTTTACTCGTCGACTACTTCTCCTCCTCCGGTCGAGTACTTTTTGCTCGGACACATCTCCCAAGGCGCCGATATCGTATAACATTCTATATAGCCACTGCACACCATTGCCAGCATTCATATACATTATATCATATTGTGTAAATGTAGAAACTGTGTATATACAACATAATGATATATACAATATACATACATAACAGTATATAGTTTTGTTCTCGTATGATTTTTAGTCGCACGTAATATCGGAACGGGGTGGAAAAAATAATAACGATTAAAATATTATTATTGTGCGACAATAAACTCCGGTCGGTAAATTTTAGAGTTTATTATAATATACACGAGCGTACAACGATAAATCCGAGCATGCCGTCGCCTAAACAGCAGCGCACCATAAATTTGATCTTTCCGAGCGTATATTTTGCGGCGGCGGTGGTCAGGTTTATGCCTGTACGATGTACGTAGACGCAAAATATTTTAATATGGCACGTATAACAAAACGGAAACGGTATTTTTTTTTCAAAATGGCCATTCAAACTCACAGCAGACGGTATATTTAAATACAAATATAAATATGTGTGTACATGTATTTTGTATATCTAGATACGTAGTAGATTATTATGTGTGTCCAAAGGGACCACGTCGGTATTGTGTTTCTTCACGCGAAGCGGAAAGGAAACACGCTGTGCAATGGCGGCGGCTGTGTGTATATTATAATATACTATAATATATATAGTGTCTCCCCCGCCAACTAGTCCCGAACACGCGCGTACTTCCGGGTTCGCTGATTACTGGTTATACCTGACGTATGTTTTATTGTTATTTTCAGGAACATTTTTTTTATTTTCAGGAAGCTGAACTTCGCATGGATGTGCTCCAGCAGCACGCTGCCTTGATGGGCGGTGCGAGCACTACGTCTTGTCCGCTGTGCCATAAATTGTTCCTAGGTAGCGAGTCGCTGGTCGAACATATGAAAGTCCACCACAACGATCCGACCACCGTTTCGCAGGCCGTCGTACCAAGTGAGTCAAATAATGTAGAGCACTTGACTACAATTATTCTGAACTCTAAGTCCTAAGAGTTTAAATATTCTAAAATGACTCGAACGAAAAGTCCTCAAAATATTTAAAACATTCGAAAAATATGTGAGCACTTTTCACATTAGCCTTTTTTCACAGGTTACTCGGATATTAGTACTAGTCCGTACATGGCCAAACGTCGAACGGCCAACCATCCCTGCCCGGTTTGTGGTAAACACTACGTGAATGAGGGAAGTCTGCGCAAACATTTGGCTTGCCACCCGGAAACAGCTCAGTACGCCCAACTCAGGATGTGGCCGTGTTCTGTTTGTCAAGCCGTATTCACCCACGAATCAGGTGAGCCAATGAGTTGTAGTGATGATATTAGCAGTGCACCAGCGATAGTCATCAAGTACCAATCAATTCTAATGGTTATATGTTCAGAATATAATATCTATTGAGCTCTTGAATCAATCGAGCATACTGAATTACAAAAATAAAATTATTTATTGTTTAGTTAAAATATTTTTTTTAATTCGTACCATATGAAATATATGAACGCTTTAATATCTAGATTAGAACGATAGTCATATGCATGTTATATATACAAAAAATACATGTATACCTGGATCTCAATGGATTGAATCCGAGTTTGGGATTATAAATCTTTAATTCAAATTCCGGTTTGTCGGAACAAAATAATGACCATCACTAAAACATACTGTGCCATGTTAGCAATATCGCGATGATAACTGATTTACGGCGCGCATGTCGCATAAATCTCGTCATATGTTGCCGACTGAGAAAAAATAATGCATGCGTATAATATACGAAACAAATCAATTTTTTTATGCACCGCAATTTATTATTAACTATAGATTTATGCACAACATCATTGTCGACTGACGTAATCTTAACTCGCGTTTTCTTTGTATACAGGCCTGCTAACACACATGGAACACATGCGTATGGATCCCAAGCATCAGTTTGCCGCGCAGTACGTTCTGAGCAGAGCGGCTGCTGAACGCAGAGAACGAGAAAACTTCCTGGCCGCCGTGACGGCCACCAACAGCATGGGTGGCCCCGCCTCACCTCATTCTGTTCACTCAGATTCGTCATCATCGAACAACGGCGAAGTGGACGGTCCCAGTGGAGCTGGTTCTACAGGTTCAGTTGGCACTGGCACCAATAACTCTGTGGTTGCTGTGGTGGCCGCGGCCGCAGCGGCGGCTGCAGCAGGCGGTAACGTCGTTGTTCCCACGGGTGGCCGGCTATCCGTCTCACCAGCCGATAACCAAATTCCGTTAGTGTTGCATCACAACAACAACAACACGACGACAAACAACAACAATAATAACAACAACAATCCTACGGCGATAAAGTTAGCCGAGCTAATGGCCGCTAGAACTGGAGGCATGAGTAAGTACACATTCTCGGTTCAGCCCGACGCATTTAAGTTTTTTTTTTATTAAAAACCTTTTTTCGTTTGTTTAACGTACAGTTAGTGGTAACGGAGGTCACCAATACATGAACCAGCAACCTCAGTATAACGCCAATGACCTTCAGAGGGCTGCTGCATTATTCATGAGCCAGCAGCAAGCACATGCAGCAGTTTCGCAGGTTCAACAGCAACAGCAGCAACAACAACAGCAACAACAGCAGCAGCAGCAGCAGCAGCAACAACAACAGCAACAGCAGCAACAGCAACTTCAGCAACTTCAGCAGAACCCACCATCGCCGTCACGCTCACCGCGATCTGCACCTCCAACCCCGGCGTCCGTAGTGCAAGCGGCCGCGGCCAATCTCGCCGCTGCAGCCATGCGTATCACCCAGTCGAATGCCATGCACCAAAACCAATTGGTCACCACTTCCAGGTACGCTATTATATTGATCATATTAAATAATGTGGGGGGGGGGGTAGTATTGACATGTTATGTAGAGTTGAAGTGGGCCGTATAAGACACGGTTATAGAAAGATTTAGGTCAACGAATAGAGAATTTCAGAGTTTTATGCATTTTCGATATAATGAACATCACGTATAGACAAATAGTGTATTAATACGTATGTGTACTTTTTGGTTCAACAGTGGTTCCGGTTCGAACTCGTCAGTAAACTCAATGCAATCGGCAGTCCAGATGGCCATGAACGCAGCCGTCCGGGCTTCCATGTCGTCCATGGTCGACGGCCTCGGGGGTGGACACCACCAGCAGTCCGGTCACCAGTCTATGCTCCACCACCACCAACAGTCCAACCACGAGCAAAGCTCGCCGACGTTACGTATGCAGGAGGCCATACTTAGGTCTCAGGCAGAGGCGGCGCTCAGGTTGGCCGTCTCGCAAGCCGTGGCCGCGTCGTCAGGCCAGCAACAGGTACCTGAACAGAACCGGCAGTCGTCGGTGCAGCAACAGAACTCGCATCAGCCCCAGCAAAACGTGGCAATCAACTACAACGCCATGGCACAGGGACAGCTGATGAACGGACAGAACCCTTACCACCACCAAGGCCAAGTGTCACCAGACCTGTCCGAGGCGCTCAGGCTCCAGGAACAACGGCTCGAACAGGCACTTAGGCTACATGGTGGTGACCCAAGAGCTTTGGGCTTCACTTTCGGTAACTCCCAACAGGGTCATATCAACCCATGAGAGTTTAGTTACTATTAACGACGAGGTCATCTAAACCCTTCCCCTCGCCCATCCCCTCACAAACTACCCCGTCCACCATCACCAGCCACTGACCTACTATTATATTATTATGCCACTGTCGTCATCCACCACCACCACCACTACCACATCCATCTCCTAAAGCTCAACGGCGGACCTGCTGCAGCGCGCGCACATGATTATTTATTATAATTGTAATTAGTAATTACCTACGATATTTATTAATTATTATAACTATACTATTATATTAATTTCTAGGCATATACTTTACTTAATATTATTATTACCATAAGAATAATAATTTTATTTTTACCAAAACAATAATTGTCCCACAGAAAGACATGTCGTCATCGTCGATCGTGTCATGAGTACCTACCTACGTCGATGACGACTTGTGTCAAATTTGTAAATAGTTGTACATATACTTATTAATATGTAATTGCGATTTTAAAGATTAACTGATTTTTAAAAACGTCGTTTAGCAAATTTTTTTTGTACAGTTATGTATAATATTTGTGGTTTTTTACGTGAGTTGTATAAAAACAAATTACATTTAAATCGATAAATCCAATTTATAAGGATCTCTCAGCGAGAGATTCCAATAACGTATAATATAAAGCAACATTTAGGTTCCGAAAATATTATTATTTACTTATAAACATTCAAATAATTTGTTCTGTTAATTTGTATTTATTTTAGTTTTAATTTTCATCCAAGGGGTTTTTGCAATTTTATTTTATTCTGGTTAAATAGTTTTTTTTAGTAAAAATTAACTCATTATTCACTTCGTTTACTTAATTTTAATCAAACGATTATTGTCTTGTACTATAATTTCTTTGGAGAGGAACTTGTCTCATGAATTGACCCATTTATAGGACTCCCAGAAATATTGTAGGTAGATCACGTTTATGCAAACTACCCCATTAAAAGCATCTTAAACGAAAAAATATTTTCGGAGACTTAAGCTTAAGAAATAAACACCGTGTAATAATTTTTAGCATGTAAATAAGATTAAAACATACTCTCTCAAATACACTGCATTTTCCTTCCTCGACATTGAATTTCTTATGACAACACGACAGAGCGCGCAATCTTGTACATAATATGATAGTGATAATAGTAGAACAGACATTTTATTTTATCTATTTACTTGTAAATACAATGAACAAATTATAAAACAAAATATTTTCTGAATAACCAACCCTGTACATAATAATATAATAATTAAATAATAAAATGGTAAAGATATTTTACAAAATGTCTAACCCTAGCTCTCGCCCCCGCGTACGGCGCTTACAACCCGTCCGGGATATACCTCCCATACGTTCATATCACGTGCATAACAATACGAATATTATGTTATACATAAGAATGATATGCTCACCGTATTTGTGTAGTCCACATGAAACCAATACAAAAAGCGGCTGTCGTGTTCTCTTCGTAATTTTTCCAAAATATCGTTTTGTCGACCATTCGTGGGTAATTCCTTTAATTTATTATTTTTCCTCTTTCAAGTATAATATTACACGTGCGCTTTATTCTTATCTCGAGAGTAGGGAGCAGGAGGACAATAATATTATATTATGTGATTTTTATTTGTTTATATTTATTAATATTATTGTTTTTTTTTTACCCGTCAACATGCCAATCAAAAACAATCTCGTGCAATAAAATAAAGGAAAAATACAAATTCTATTTTCGTTTAATTCTCTGAGACGAACGAGCTGCGGTATATAATAATATGTACACATAAACACATACACCACACAACATACTATATACAAACGATCGTACATAATATATTATGATTATATAAAGCACACATGTTTCTATTATAATCTCAGTACCATTTGACGGATGACATAGATACGAAATGCAAACAATAATTAAACTGATCAATAGACAAAAAATACGCGATCCGATAAATCGATCATGTCTGAATCTATCGATGTACGACGGGACATCTGCAAACGATGTTTCAGCGTACCCGAGCCGTGTAAATCGCGTATTTCACACACACACACACATACAATATAAATATAATAAACAATAGCCCAAATACACGCTATCGCTGTGTATCACAGACACACACACACATGATGCAAGATTTTCTTGCACATTTCAATATAATAATATATTCATTTAGCGGGTAGGTCCGAATATAAAAATACGCACCGTATTTAATAATATAATTGTTAATCACACGATATAATATTTTTACTGTGCGTATTATACAATAGCCCAAACCGGAAAGTTTCCGGCCACACACACACACACACACACACAAGCCATTGCGAGCAGTTCAAAATTTCGGGTCGAATGATACTGAAATGTTATTGAATTTTTGGTTTCACTTTCTCCACAATATTATATCCGTCCCCCGGCCGTCCACAACAACCGTTATTCGCCGCTACGATAATTTTCATGAACGCGTAAACACACCTTATCGCAACACTAATTAAGTACCTACTTACTTTCATACCATTACTGTACTTACAAACTCATATCGTTTTCGGGGACGTCCGGCGCGGGACCCGAACGTGCAATGGACCAACAACATAATATATACCCAGACGCAGATTCGTCGAATCTGTATTTTTTTCTTTTAATTATTTATTTATTTTAAAACTGATAATCAGTTATAATCCGTTGGATATTATTTAGCTTAATAGGTGTAATACAAATACATAGTTCGTAGGATACATTTAGTGCCGTTTTAAATACAGTAAATAATACCATAATAATAATCATATAACGATAACAATAATGATACTAATTACAGTTTGAGATAAATAAAACGGTTCAATGGTTATTTTTAAACTTTTTTTTTTTTATTAAGTTTTCCCTTCACCTTGAATATGTTTTTCGGTATATTTTAATATTGATGGACAAATTCACTATATTATTATATTTCTATTATTGTTTGATTGATGACGAATGTAACTGTTCACGTACAAAGTGATTACCTTTATTATTATTATTTCGTTTGTTGGTTTTTTTTTTTTTTACAAAATAAACGTTTAATTTTATAAAACTATTTCGACCTAATTTATAATGGGTACCTAGTTTTATTATTATTATTGTTTATTTTCCACCCGCTATTTGTACCTACTTTATTATACGTTAACGTTATTTTTTTTTTTTTAATTCAAGACCAGTTGAGTTTTCATTTTGCCGTTTTATTTTATCAGCTTTTTAAGAATATTGCAATTAACAATTTATAAAGGTAGTTTCATCGTTATAATTTAGTTTTCTGTTTTTTGCTGACTATGTTTATGTTACAATAGTTACAGTACACTACGACTTTTTTCATTATTATTATTATTATTATTATTATTATTATAACAATAATACATTATTACAGTTTCAATAATATTACACTAATTACATTACATAATAGTTACTGGATTTAGACAGTGTTTTTTTTTTTTTTAATGAATGAATGAAATATACACTATAAACGTAGTTTGGAATATTTAGTCTTACAATATTTGAATAAGAATAATAATAGTCAACATACATATAATAATACGGTTTTCAGTTTTACACACACACTCATACAGACAGAATGTTTAAGATGTTTCTATTGTTACAAAAATCAATTATAGTTTTAAAATTAAACAATTGGTTTTTTTTCTATTGTGTTCCTTTTGGTGTTAAGTTTATGTTATACGCATATATCTGTTCAGTTTTTTTCGTGTGGTATGATTTTTTTATATAATAAGCTACGATTTTGATGCTAAATTATACGCTCCTCCCCCAAAAACTTATTTTTATTATTTGTATTAAGTTGCTCAAAAAAAAAATTTTTTTAATAAATTGGAACAAAAATGTATTTAAAAAGTATATAATATATTATTATTACCATTGTAAAAATTTTTTGGGAAACAATTGTCTAGATATTCGATGTTAATATTATATTATATTATAACATTTTGATTTTTTTATTATTATTATTATTATTATTATTATTATTATTATTATTATTATTATTATTATTATTATTACTATATTATTTTCGGTTCCTTAAAATTATTATATTTTGTCATGAAAATTATTGTCCTGAAGTTTTGAAACACGACTATATTATATATTATACGTTTCGGTTCGATATATTGAACAAAAATAAAAATATAAGTGAAAATAAAAAAATGATGTTTGTGTAGTAAAACGATATTTATATTATATATTGTATTAAAAATTTAGTTAATATAAAATATACGTTAAAGTCATTAAAATCTTATACCTTCCGCGTTGTTCTTTGTTTACACATTATATATGTTTGGTACTATATACTATATTATAGCTAGTTGTTTAGTTATATCTGGCCATTCATAATATTGTATTATCACGTATAGTGAACCTATACGTATATTTATAGGCCTTATAGCACACTTATTCCTGGCTGCAGTTTTATTGTTCAGGCTATGTATACAGTGCGTTACACGATTTTTCGCATATTTCACGGACTTGGATGGACCGTGAAAACCTATTCGATTATCTTGGTCAAATCGGGAAAACGTGAACACACACTCACTAGTCGGTCATGGCCTTGACCGTTTCAGGAAATCGTCGGACTAAATCAGGTCAATTTATCATTAAAGTATATAGATTCATCGATTATTATTTGAATCCACGAGTGCATTTTGCATTATATATACGCCTATGAATACAGCAGAACACGAGCTAAACGAGACCGAGACGACTACTTGCGCACCAACTATAAAATACTATATATAAATCATATATAAATAGGCAACTCTGTGCATAATCTGTAAATGTTTGAATATTATTGTATACTCGGACATATTTATGTCGTTGTTTAGTTTTTGCCTGAAGTAGAATAACGAAAAAAAAATCGAAGGTTATTAACCAATCTATTTCCTCGTTCTATAGCAACAGCTCGAATACATCTGCAGTTTCATGATTTTAAGTTCATGTTGAATTTCTATCTAATTATTAAAATATAATATTTTCTAGTGAGCACCTCACGTAATATTAAGTTGGCACTGTCGCAGAAAATGATGTTCCAAAGACTTAACAGTATTTTTTTCAATAAATATATGCACTTCAAAAACATTTCATCGAATTATTAGATTGAATTGTAAGTTATTAAGTATTTACTATAGTAAATGTTCTTATTTCACGTGATAGAAAATATGTTATAGTTATACGTGAAATACCACCAGAACTAATGTTGTAATACCTAGTATAGTTAAATGATTATCGTAATATATTAATTAGTTATTATTAATAATAATAATAATTTATTATTCAATAACACAATTTCCAGCAACTCCACGTTTGACGATGCAGTTAAATAAAACTTGTTACCTTGACTCTAGTAAGTTTCAGATTTTTACAAGAATTTTATTATTTTAACTTGTATTTGCTCATTGTAATTTATTTAACTCTTATGAAAATATACTTGTTTGTTATAATTGCCATCTGAATTTGGTTCATAATTATTTTTATATAGCTGACATAAAAATCTATATCAGTCATATAGGTAGGCCAACCGAACAGTAGTATTAGCATAAATTCAAACAATCGATCATTCGAAATGCAGTACACTTAACTGTACACCATGGGAAAAAAACGCATTTACACAGTTTATTTCTTCATTCATGTATAAATCAATGGAATGCAAATAGTCCGGGTGTTCAATGTATACAATATTAAGTATGGTTGACA